GAATTGCTGGATACTGAGACAGATCTCTCTAATAATCATCAGGGTAGTAAAGCATGGATATAGGGAAGGTTGTAAAGGACTATTACATTATGCCTTTCGGTGTATTTTCTTCTGAAGATGTATTACTTTTCATTTTATCTAGTTTGTGACCACGACAGTACCATCTGTAGCCAAGCTAAACGTTTTGTAGGAGCTGCTTGAAAAGAAATGTCCTTCGCCGCTTATTTTACAATTCTATCTGTTTGCCAAAAGTAACTTCTTCTTTCTCCAGTTTTTGGAAGGACTTTGTTGACCTCTCCAGATAGATGAGACAGTTTTAAGCTTTGATCAAATTTTGACAGCTTTTGAGTTAAAACAGTGGTTATATTCCCAGGAATTAGGCTTGTTATTCGGTAATAGCTGCTTAACAAGCTATTATTCTGCTAGACTGTTCATGTTTCGCTTTCTACAAACATAAATGTTGGTGCAGTTTAAAAGTGGAGAATTTCTTTAAAAAAAACGTCTTTATTGCTTGCTAAAAAATTTGAAAAAAATTGCTATGAAATATACAGTGGTTTAATAAATCATTCACTTTGACTATCGTCTTAGTACTTGCTATTCACTCTGCAAAGTATGAAGTAAAAATCAAGAATTTTTTTACTTTGTCATGCTTGTAGGAGAGGATATGGAGGTGATTTTTATGAAATTTGTCGAATTGAAGAATAAATGAAGAAGAAAATAATTTTAGTTTGTCGAATGTTTCAAAGAAGGAACAAAATTATGTAACTGCCTTCCTTGTTTTTAAAAAGCATCACGTGCAGGCAGCTGGCAAAATCTATGCTAATTTCTCTCCATTACGATGAGAAAAGTTGGAGAAAAGGTTTGCCCTGAACTAGTGAATTAATAAAAAATAGCCTATCTTCAAATACTATTATCTAAGAAGAGTAATGCAGTTGGCAATCCCCTGGAAAACATTTGGACATAAAATTTTCAGTAGCCTATTCTTCTGTCTAAGAGCAGCTTCTTTGGCTTTAGCAGTCATTCAGTTGATTATGTCATCAAAAGCTAAAACGAAGATAAATAAACATGAACTCTACTTGCCGTATTTTTTGACAACAGAAAAAAAGTTAACGGAGGAGAATGAGGTTTTTTTAAAGGAGAAAAAACGGCGCTAAA